CAAATTTTTGTTGAGATAAATGGTAGTCACATGGTGTTTGATTGATCACCAATCTGATGAAGTAATGTAGGTTGCCTAGGTCTTTCATTTCGAACTCTCATTGAAGGTGAGATTTGATATGGTTGATGGTTGATGGATTATCACCAATAATGATCATGTCGTCAACATATAGGAGGAGGATGGCGCGTTGGCTGTTTGAGGAGGAGATGAACATTGCTGGATCATTTTCACTTGGAAGAAAACTAGTTGGTTGCATAACCTATGTGAATTTGGCGAACCATGCACAGGGTGCCTGTTTGAGGCCATAGAGATCTCAGCGAAGGTGACAAACAAGGTCTTAGGAGTGAGGGAGTCTAGGTGGTGGGGTCACGTAGATATCCTCAGTGATGTTTCCATGCAAAATAGTATTTTTAACATCCATTTGGTATAATGGTCATTGTCGGGAAGCGGCAATGGTGAGCAGTGTAGTGGTCAATTTAGCAACTGGGACAAAGGACTCCTCATAGTCCACCCTATATTGTTGTAGAAAGCCTCGAGCGACTAACCGAACCTGGTAACACTTATGGTTCTGTCAGCTTTAGTCTTGACCTTGTAGGTCCATTTACAGCTGATAGGGGTCTTTCAAGAAGGAAGGGTGGTAAGATCCCATGCATGAGTTTTCTGGAGAGCGGTAAGTTTGTCGTGCATTGCATGTTGCCACTCAGGGTGTTTAACTACATCATGGTAAGAATGGGGTTCCACATAATCTGACGTTATCATAATGTCTATGTGAAAGGCAATGGAGGTGAAGTTGGGATCATGGTATTTGTCCGGTGATTGGCGATCTCAGGAGGGATATCTTAGCTCAGGTAAGACGTTAGTAGTGAGTGGTTCATATTCAATCGAAATTGGTGAAGAGGTTGATTGATCCAATGCAGCATGATGTGGGTCAGGACTGGCCACTTGCTCGGTGGGAGGTCTAATTTCTGGACGTAGTTGTGGAGTGGTTTGTGGTGCCAGAGGGTAGGGTTTGTCATGATCAAGAAATATGAGATCTATGGGTATGGATGTCGGTGAAGGTACAGGTGGGGAAGGTAGGGCGTAGTATGGAAGATGTTCAAAGAAGGCGACGTGGGGAAAGATGCGGAGCCAATTAGAATAAGGGTCATAGCAGTGATAGCCTTTTATGATGGAAACTGTATCGAAGGAATATTCACAAAATAGATCGAGGTGAAAGTTTGTTGCACTCTAAAGATGAAAGTTAAACGAAGCATGTGCAGCCAAAAACTCGAAGGTGAGAGTAGTTTGCTGGTGTTTGGTATAGTTGTTGAAAGGGTGCAAGGTTGAAAGGGTGTGAGGCCTTTTAGAGTGGTGGAGGGGGTGCGATTGATGAGACAAACACTCGTGAGGATAGCTTCTGACCAAAACTGAACGGGTATAGATGTAGATAATAGAAGTGATCTAGTGGTTTAAGGATATGTAGGTGACAATTTTTAGCTACACCGTATTGTTGGTGAGCATATGGGCAAGAGAATTAAGAGAGAGTTCCCTGAGAGGCAAGGTATTATGTGAAGCGATGGGATGTATATTCTCCCATGAGTCGGAGCATAAGGTTTTGATGTGGGAGAAGAATTAGGTGAGGATCATAGTGGCAAAGTTTTTATAAATGTCATAAAGCATCAGATTTATGTTTCATCAGGTAGGGGGTGATCATCAATTAATATTATGTAGTAGTGATTGTCACCACGAGATGGACCCCAAATGTCAATATGAATGAGGCCAAAAGGTGCAGAAGCGAGTTGATTGCTTATTTGAAAAGGTTAGCCCTAGTGTTTTGCCAATTTGCAACCAGTACAGGTTGACAATGCATCAGTAGGAAATTTTCCTAATTTGCCAAATGTGGAGGATCTGAAGACTAGGTAAAGATAGATGACCAAGGCGATGATGCTGGAGGTCGCAGGTGGTTGGTTTAGAGTTAAGGAGGCAAATGACAGAGGCAATAGAACTGGGAAGGATGAGCTTGTCCATGTAGTATAGGCCACTGATATTACGGCCAGTCGCAATCATTTGTCCCGTGCAAGAATCTTGTATAAGACAAGATGAAGCGGTGAAGGTAGCAATATAGTTATGCGAGGTGATTTGCGAGACTGAGAGTAAATTCATATTGACATTAGGGACATGGTGTACGTTGGGGAACGAGAATTGAGGCTTAATATGCAGGTGACCTACAGAGGTCTGGGTAGGTGTCATCGGTTGTGCCATGGCTGTAGGAGGTAGGGGTGTTTGGTTATGGATGTGTGTTTGTGATAACGTAAGATGATATGTAGCACCCGAATCTAAAACCCATGAGTTAGTCTTTGTACCTGATTGAGTGACATACGAAGTAGCAGCTGAGCCTGTGTTAGATGAGGGAGCGGATGGATGTGGTGCCTGCAGGAGATCAGTGTAGGATGATGGTGTTAGATGTGGAGGGAATCTCAGTGATGGTTGCCTAAGGCATTGGGGCGATAGTGTTAGGGAAGGTGTTTTAGCTAATCTCACGCGACACTTGTCCATAGAATGTCCGCAGAGTTTGTGAATGTCACACCATTGTTTACGTGCGGATCTGGGGCCAAATTGTAGTTGTCTAGTCGACGAGGTGTACTGTCGATAGGGATAACCACTGTGAGTAGTTGAGCGTGAGGTGGTGGTGTGGACAGACCTCGAACTGATGGGAAGAGTGGTGAAGACGTATCTCCTCAGCCTGTAACTCTATGACAGTCGTTTCAAGAGTGGGTCTAGGTGACCACTGAATGATTTTGCTGTGAACGGATTCAAACTCCGGTCAGATTTTTATCAGGAACTAAAGGAGACATTGCTTATCTCTGTTGTTGTGGTAAATAGTCCTGGAAGATAGGTCACTAAGGGGTGTTTCAAGGGCTACAAGTTGTTCTCAGATATCAACGATGTGGGTATAGAACTTGCGGATCGAGCAATCACCCTGTGTAACCGTAGAGATCTCCTGGTATAGTTGGAACTCTCGGGCGTCATCTAACTGTGTGTAAAGGTGCTGCAAGTATTCCTAGAGGGATATGACAGTGTCAAATTATGCGAGCTGAAGTTGAATGGAAGGTGAGACGGACTGTACGATTGGGGTACCGGCGGAATTGACTCGGGATTATCCCTTGTCGATGCCCTTTTGCTGGTCATATTGGTGGTGATCCTCGGAAATTCTCCGTCTTCAATTACCCTTCTTCTTTGTCGGAAGTGCCTAGACCTTGGTCTTGGCGTTTCGGTACTAAGCCTTTCGAACACTGAAATTCGCTCGGGGACTGCCTTGATCTTTAGCAAGGGTCCAAGCCATAAGAGCAGACTCATAAGAGGAGAGGGCAACCATATCCTTGGTGAGATTGCCGATAGAAAGTGGTTGAGTTGTAGGTTTAGAAGTGTCATCAATGTGTCCCCAAAGCCCACGACTACGGAGAATGACTCGTAGGGAGTAGGACCAGAGATGGTAGCTATCACCGTCGAGTTTTACGTCAATGAATTGTTGATGGATGTGCATCTCGAGCGTCATCATGACGGAGGCCAACTTATCACTTATCTCATATATTTTATTAACGAATAGTCGTAAGAGGAAGCTAAGTGATTATCTTAAAATTGATTAAGCTAAATGATTAGTTGAAGATCTAGTTTGTAGGCCAAATACGTGGCGCAAGATCTATGACGATCTAGTTGGTAGGCCAAATAAATAGCGAAAATCTATGAAGATCTAGGTTGTAAGCCAAAAGAATGACGCAAGATCTATGATGATCTAGTTGGAAGACAAATGATTGGCTTTGAGCGATGAAGATCTATGAAGATCTTTTTTTTAATGGATGATGAGGTAGGGCGCTGTTGGTCGACCACTGGTGCAGAATCGGTGCACGTGGTGCGACGGTGGTGCAAACTTGTTGCACGTGGTGGTGTTTTGGTTCTGTTGGTTGAGCCCTAGTCAAGATCTGATGCACGTCGTGCGGTGATGGTGCAGAACTGTTGCACGATGGTGCTGTTTTGGCTCAGTCGGTCGAGCCCTGGTGCGGATCTGATGCACGTCGTGTAGCAGTAGCTGCAGATCCAATGCATGTTAGTATAGTGGTGAGTGCAGATCTGAATACACGTCATGGCGGTGGTGCAAATCTAATGCACAATGGTGCTATTTTAGCTCAGTTGGTCGAGCCACGTTGTAGATCTGGTACACGAGAAGTGGCGTGGATGGCTGAGATATTGGCCACTAGCAGCTAGGGTTACGATCTAAGGTTTGGGGATGGGGTTGTGGCTAGGTTATAGGCTAGGGCTTTGGGGAAGATAGTGAAGTGCGTGTTTAGATTTGTGGGGTTAGGATTTGAGGAAGAAATTAATTGAATGGCTCTGATACCATGCTAGAAACAGATCAAATTAGGAGAAAAGAATATATTTATTCATTGACATTGTAGTCTATATCTACAACATAAGTAGGATTGTTCTACTGCTCTACCTGATATGGGACTAAGCAAGAACTATGTATGCAATATTTAACAGTGTGAACCTAATTCCTGGCTATTGCCAGACACTTTAAAGAAAAGGTGTATATTAGAGCCGCCAAAATCTATCTTTTAAGAGAAAATCCCTCCTAAAAATGCCTCGAGTTTAACAAAAATTATACAAGTAGGTAAAGTTCCTCTCTGTAGATATTATACCCACATTTGCACTGTCACAGGAGTATAAGCTTGTAACTCGAGGCGTTGCAACTGAAACATCTCGAGTCAACTGCAATCATTTGATATGTGGTTCGTGTTGACTATAGATGTGGTCACAACCGCAGTGGTAGCAATTCATCCATGTTGCGACATGCAACATGCAAAGATTTCGACATAAGTTGCAGTTACTACCTCTTTGAGCCGTAAATGAGGTTTAACTGCAACCAGTCACCAAATAAGCAGAAAAAAAGCTAAATCCCAAACACCTGCAACTACAGTCACAACTACAAATTAATACAGAATTTTAAAAGTAAATCAAACAACTGCAACAATAACTATGTGCGACAATAATTGAAACTGTAGTTACATATAGCTGACATTTGCATCCAGTTGCACTTGCAATGAACCAAACAAACATATAGCTGACATTTGCATCCAGTTGCACTTGCAATGAACCAAACATAGCCCTAAAAGTTCAGGCAGGTCAAACACAAAATCATTTGTAGCACAAAGACAAATCACTAATA